GACGGGACCCCCCTGGCAGGGTGGGGAGAGGGGCCCCCCCGCCCACTGGGATGCCCCCACCTGTGGGTTTTGTGGGGCAGGACTCCTCGGGGACCCCAGGTGAGGGGTGCGCCCCCATTAGGGCCACCGCTGCCCCGTTAGCTCGTTATTTTCGCTACACCTCCCCCCCAAAAAAATTTCCCTTTTTCTCCCCGTTTCTCCCCTCAGGTGACGGCGGAAGAGGCCGAGCCCAGCGCCCCCGTCCCGGCGGAGGGGTCTCCCCCCACACTCCCGAGGGTCCCCCCACATCCTGGAGGCCTCCGAGGGCCCCCCCGAGATCATGAGGGTTACCCGCACACCGCGGGATCCTCCCAGGGGTGCCCCCCCCCATCGCGGGCTGCTCCAAGGGACCGACCCAGGGGGTTCTCCCCGAACCCCGAGGGGCAGCGAGGGTCCCCCGCCGCCCGATGTCGCGGCGCTGCGTGGGGCACTGGAGGCGGCTCTGACCCGGGACCCAGGGGACACGATGCCGGCCGAGCTGAGCCCGATTTTCGGGGTCCCCCGGCCCCCTCAAGACAAATGTCAGCATCTGGATGGGGCCCGGCTGCTGCGTGACAACCTGTGCCTGGTATGGGGTGGGGGTGGCGCAAAATGAAGGGGAGGCACCCAAAATACAGGGGAATGGGGATATGGGGGGGGAGGGGAAGTAGAGGGATATAGAGGTGCAGTGGGGGTTTGGGCCTCCCTGCCCGCCCACCCCCATGCCTCGGGGGGTGGCCATAGGGTTTGGGGGGGCTGCAGACGGCGCTCAGCATCCTGGAAAAGTACAATCAGAACCTGCTGCTGCCGCACTGTCCGCTTCAAGAACCCATCTCTGCGCCACCATCAACGCCGTGCAGGTACCTCAAAACCTCAAGGACCCCAATCCCCTCTGTATCATCCCAATATCCCCTGTAAAACCCCAATATCACCCCAGTGTTCTTCTTAGTACCCCAATATTTTTCTATAGGGCCCTGATATCCCCCATATCACCCCAATATCCCCTGTATCACCTCAGTATCCCCCCTTAGCACCCCAGTATTTTGCTGTAGGACCCCAATCTCTATGTATCACACCACTATCCCCAGAAGATCCCAAGTATCTCCCCAGTATTCTCCTCTAGCACCCCAGTATTTTGCTATAGAATCCCAATGCACCCTGCATCATCCCACTATCCCATGTAGAACCCCAATATCACCCCAAGATTCCCCTCTGGCACCCCAATATTTTGCTATAGGACCCCAATATCCTCTGTATCACCCCAATATGCCCCATAGATGCATTTGCTGAGCAAGACCAGTCCCTAGAGGGGCAAGAGTAGTGGCCTGAACAACAGCAGCCTCAAGCTGGTGAGGGGCGCAGGAGCTCCCTGCTGCCATCCAGGCTTGTGTGGAGAGACGTCAGGCACCCAGCCGAGCGCCCAGCCTGGGCCCGAGGGTGCCAGGGCAGGGTCCCTCTGAAAGTGGAATAGCTGCTGTCAAGGCCTCTGTGGCTGCCGAGGCACCAGTGGTGCCTGTAGCTGGTGCCTGCCAGCAGTTGGTGCTCATTGCTTAAGGCGCCTCAGCCAAGAGCGCACCCAAGAACATAATTTTTGCCACTGTGATGGTACATCCTGGGGAGGAGGGCAGAGAAACTAACAGACACCACCTGTGGCAGTCAAAAATAAGAAAGCTGAGAAACTTTCCAGTCAGAGCAATGAGCCAAAACGAGGCAATAAATGAAAAAAAAACCCTCAGAGTTCATGGAAAGGACACTAAGACGCCTCAACCACCACTAGGGACCACCACAGACCACTGAAAAGCCCCGTGGAAGCCCCTCAGAAACCCTTCCCCAGATTTTAGTGTGCTTGTGCAATGTATTAACATAGGCGTTAAATCCTCTGGAAATAGGTGCGTACTTTTCGGGAATTACATGAATATTAATTTCTTTTATTGTATATAAGAAGTATGCTTTTGTCTTTCCACATGCATGTCAGGTGGAATGATCCTCTGTGCCTCCAGCGCTGCAGTGAAGAATGCCTGCCTTCTAAAACTGCAAAACAAGTCTTAGAGGGTTTTTTTGAGACCGAATTTACAGTAACACCAGGGCTGGGCCCCAGAGAAACTAGACTTGAGGCTGCTTTGGTTTTGGGAAGCTGACTTGAAGGTGGTGCCCTGGATCTGCTTCGAGAGAGCAGGCAGAAGGCAGCCTGAGAGAAGGCGACTCATCCTCTGTGGCTACTCTGCTATTCCAGCGCCAATTTGCCGGCGGTTGTGGGGGAGTGGTGTGAGAGGGGCCACACCTGCATGTCCTTGCTTCCCGGGAGCTGGGAAGTGAGTGGCTGGAGGGGCCAGGGAAGCCCAGCCGAGGGCTGCAGCTACATTCCCAGAGGGCTGTGCCACCGCAGAGAGCACCCAGGGGCCCTTCCCTGGGCCAAGGGTAGCCCAGGATTAGCTGGTCCCCTTCCCCAGGCAGGACAGTCCTGTTGCCCAAGACCTGCCCCCCCCTCCCCTCTGAAGTCCCAGCGCTGAAGGGACGCCACCCGCCTTTTGTGATCTCAGGCGGCCCCTCAGCTCCCGCACTGTCTTACTTCCATAATTTCCGTTCTTGTGGCTGTGCAAACCCAGCTCAGCTGCTGTCCCCCAGTCCCCCCTTACCCTGTCCTGCCACCCTGCCCGCACCCATGCAGCTCTGTGCTGGCAGTTGCTGCCTGGAATAAGCAGCCCCATTGCCAGATGATGGGGAAGATGTGCTGCAGGCAGGGCTTGGGACACAGTGCGGGCACGGGCTGGCACTAGGGCCCCAGCAGAAATAATTTGTGACTGGTCTTGAAATAAAGCAGGCTGCATGTCATGCAAGAAGGTAGTTTTCCTGCAAGTAGACTGGGAGCATGGCTGAGTGAGTAGGAGCGGAGGGAGGAAGCAGACCACTGGACGGTGCTGTGCCATGGCCTGTCAGGAGCAGAGCACAATATTCTCAGTGCCAGCCAAAGTAACGTGGAAATTGGCCTTTTTCCCAGATGGGAGCCCGGTGAAGTTTTGTGCTGCGGGATGTAGTTGGGGCCCTCGGGCAGAGGGCTGCAGTTACGCCCAGTGGGTGATCTGAGCAGTGAGGAGGGGAGAGAACAGACTGAGGGGAGAGGAACAGGCTTGGGAAGCGTGGCAGACTGGGAATGCCCCAGAGGCAGCAGGCTGGAGGATAATGTGTCCAGGGAAAGGTGCTACAGGGAATACGTCCGTATTGCGAATGATAAACCTCACTTTAACTGTATATTGTGCCTTAAGAGGTGAGTTAGCAATCGCACCAAGTCACCACCATTAGCAGGATGCGTGGGAATGAAGCACCCAGTGCATGAAGACAAACTTCTCCCATTTTTTTCAATGCCACATCAAGGCGTGTGATCCTCCAGCCAGGACTTGGGAAGATGTCACTAAGCTTAACAAAAATTTTTTTGCAGCCGCTTTTGAGGTTTGTCACCTAATAGGAATGACAAAAAGCCGTGTGCGGGTGGCAAAACCCTTGTTCTGTTAAAAATTGGCACAGAAAAGGAGTTGGAAAGCGCAGTCCTTGATGCTTATCCTCCCTCTGCATCCCCATAGCCCCATGAGGCCAGGGATTAAACTCGGTACCGGGGGTAAGGGGATTTAAAACTGGTATCAGGGGAAGCGGGACTTAAAACCAGACCGTTGAATCAGGGCACTGCAAACGGTTCAACTGAGATTTAAAACAAAACAAAGTTACATACATGACTCCACTGCTCTAAACCATGTTTATTAAAAAAAAAACCCAAACGACCAAGCAACCTACTGGGTTTTTTTGAGAGAGAGAAAAAAAAATTTTTTTGACCATTAATAAATAAAATAATTTTTTGGAGGTATTATTTCATCTTTACCTCATCTGTTTTTCTAATTTCTATTTGTAATGTACATACTATATCCATGCAGCCGTGCATGTGTCAATAAATATAAATAAAAATAGAAATATGCATAAATATGCATCGATAAATGTAAATACAAATGCAAATACAAATATAATTATAAAATATAGGTGTAAATATATAAATTAAAAATAAACTTAAACATATCAATATAGATATAAATATCAATAAAAACTATCGTGGTGCCGGGGGGGAGCTCCGCAGTATTTTAGGGATCGAAAAAGGTCGGAGACCACCCTCGGGGGGGGTGGGGG